CACGGGGCCGGCGATGCCACGTGGAGCAGCGGCGCGCGGGGCCGGGGACGCCTTTGCCGAGCCCCAGCGCCAGGTTGCATCATCGCTGGATGAATCAGGCAGATAAGGAGGCTGCTGCGCGCTGGAAACCTTCTGTTTACACAGAGCTATCGCCGTATCCAGGCAAACAGCAGTGACAGGAAAGGAAATACAGAAAAAGCTAATAACTTCTGGGTGCTATTTCTGGTTCGGCCACCAGCTTGCTCTGTGACCTTGAACAGGATGCTTCCCCTTTCCTATGCTTCAATTTTCCCACTCCTAAAAAAGCGGTAACGCTCCCCTATGCAAGATAATTTTCAAGCGCTGGTCTCAGAGGGCTGTCAGCATCTGAGTGCTTTTGAGACAGGCAAGTAGTAATATCACAAGCCTTGACATTTGATCAAAACTCCCAATTGTTACTACTTCATTCACAAACCGCATCGCCTTCATGTAAATAGCCTTGCCTGTGTTAATCTGCCCTGCCTAAACCAGCTCCAAAACGCTGGGAAAACAGAGATAAGAGGAGCATTGCAAAATATTTTTCATGTTCAACTTTGCAGCAAGGGCAGTGGAAGGGGGGGATTAAACTTCGGGCATCAAAGTAAACATCACAGGTTTCTCTTGCACGCCGTCTTCAAGTGAAGAGAGGGGAAACCACCTTCCCAAGCTCCTGCAAAAAAACCCAGCAGGATTGGGGCTGAAACGACAGCGCGCAGCAGCGTTTGGGGCACCTCCGGGGAACGGGGGCTCGTGCCGGAGGCGGCAAGCGCCGCAACCCGGAGCCGTGCAGAACGCGAGCGGCCAAGAGCAGGCGCAAGCGTTTTTCCGCAGAACGTTGCAATAGAAACGATCAGCTCCCAAATGCTCAAACAAAAAAAAGAAAAATAAAAGGGTTTCAAAGCTAAATGCTGAGACCTCAAACGTCTAACAGCCACTGCTGATGAGAGCCAGAGAAAATATTTGGTTTATTTTTCTTTAGTGCTCTGGTCCTCAGTGGGCAGGACATGTAAGCACAGGGCTGGCAGAGCCCGAGTAGCCATCCCACCACCCCGCTCGGAGACTTAAAAGTAAAGGAGGATTTCGGTCCTCGGGTCATACCTTCCCCGGGCTGCAGATCACTGAGTTGCCTTTGTTTTAGTTCTGTGCCTATCTACTTGGTATTTTTGGACTAGAAGAAAATACTACCATTTGAAGTGTTTTTTTTCTTTTTTTTTTTTTAAAAAAAAAAAGCAGTCTTACATAAATCAGGAAGCTCCCGATGGGTGGGACTGGCACACTGCTTTGGCTCTCATGGGTGCAAACAGATTTGTGAAGAGATACACATATGGTATTTAGCTAAAGTATTTACATATCCTTAAATTTCTCAGGTTAAAAAAAAAAATGTAAAAAATATGAGCTACCCTAAGCCAGCAACCAGCCTTTTTCTAGTCCGGAATAATCATACAATTGTAGGAGTGTTGCTTCCAAAATACTAAAATTGTTATCATTTTAGTGAATTACTTGCTCATTTGAAGACAAAACATTTGATGAACTATTTTATGAAGGGGAAAATTGTAATTTGCTTTTAAAGCTTTCTCAGTCACCAGACCTTATTAAAGGACTTTTTAAATTCCTTTATTCATCTCTTTTCTGGCAAACCTTTTGAAACAGAATATAATACTGGCACACAAGCAAGGGAAGGGAAAAATGTCTTGGATGAGATTTTTTTTTTTCTTTAAGAATAGTCAATAAGTCTAACTTTGGCACGAAGCTCCTCACAGCTATTTATTTTTTAAGCTTCACGGTTAACCTTGGTGGATGTTATTACCTCTGCCGGGTAAATAATTCCGCTGACCCTCCATTTGCCATTTGTAAACGGGCTTAACAGCTACTTCTCAAGGAGGATTTCTGGGGCTTAAATCTGGGGCATAAAAATCTGCCAGGAAAAGAGTTGTCTCAAACTACAAGAATCAATGGGAAATCACATATCTGATGATGAAGGATGTACTTTATAGCGTTCATTTCACATTAAGATAGAACGGTGGAAAAAAGTTTCTTTTTCCAGGTGAACCTGCTATAATTATGCTTTACTTTATTTTTTCTGATGCTGGGTGTTCTTTAAGCAGGAAGCAAACGTCAGCTGCATGAGCTCTGCAGCTAAAATGAGGTATCCTGAATTGCATGCAATTGAAATAGCATGAATGGAACATAAAAACTGAATATATAGAATATATTCAGGGAATATATTCTAAATCCTAGGGAAAGGCACAAGCATAGTTACATCAAGATATATAGCTAAAAACGTCATGCAGGTACAGGCACCAAAATCGCAGGAAACCTTGAGAGCTGGATGTGATCGTTAATGGTATTTTACAGCAAACTTGCCTCTAAATTAATGCAGTAGGTAACCTTTACGTATCTTTAATATTACTGTGAGTTAATGAGCTCTAGTATATCCAACAGTCAGGATGCTCAGCTGTGCACAGTTTGTGCTCCCAAGTTTTCTTTCTGTTCAGGGGATTTCAGGCTGACCAGGGGGTAAAATAACCACTGAACCACATACTCGAATTTCCATATACAAGGTTATGATACGGCTATGGATTTTCAAATTGAAATTTCATGATATCTGGTGTTTTACTGAAAATCTCAACCCTTTTAAGCAAGTGGTAATGGGAGGGTTTTAGTTTAATTGGAAAAACTGAAGTACTACTCATCTATAACATTGACTGCTGGGATCAAAATTCAAAGTCAAGTTTTTTCCTTTTTTTGGTCTACTTTCGTGCATTTTTTGCATACTTTAAAAGGAAGGTTTACATTTAAAAATAGTTATTTGGTTTCTGGAACTTTTATTCAGGTTTAGTTGGCTTGGAGCTTAGATAAATAGGAAAAACAGAACAGCAATAACTCAATTCAGAAAAAATAAGTGCTGTTTAACCACCATGTCCCACACGTGCCCCTAAAAGGTAGTTTCTTCCCTGTGCGTATCTATCAGCTTGACTATACAAAAAGGAATTAAGATTACCATGTTCAATAGATCTGCTACTGAGAACCCTCAATACTAT